GGGAGCAGCCCCCAGGGCGGTGGCGGCGGGACTGGTGTGTCTGTGGCGTCGACGGCGGCCGAGCGGGCGACGCCTCCGTCAGCGCCTCCGAGCCTGGCGCCCATTTTGCGGAGGAGCCTGCGCGGCCTACACGCAGCCGGACGGCCGCTGGAGGCGGAACAGCTGCTCGCGGGCCTCGGCAGCCTGGGGACAAGCTTTTTGCAATTCGGTCCTTGAACAGTTAAGGTTTTGTTTTACTTGGTTTTCTTTCTAAGTCACAGCCCCTGAACCGGCTCAGACTTCCGGGCCACTTCCTGGTCCCCGACCTCCGCTTGTCTCCTCGCCTGGGATGCCCTTTAGCCTGCGGGCCGGGGGTAGGGAGAGCCTGGAAGTGGTGGGCGAGCTGCGCTAGAAGCGGAGTGACTAGCACAAGACACGGTCTATTCATGTGAGTAACCATTTGCCGAAATGAGCGACCCACAACATTGTATCTGCCAAGAGTCACTTTGAAGCCGAGTTTCTGCTACTTTGTACACAGGGCCGGATGGCTTTCTTTGCTCTGGGGAAAGGAAACTGGGGCACTGACCACATCAAATAGCCAAACACAAGTTGCCTGGGCTCTCCTGGCCTTTCTACACACACGGTGAAATTCGATGGGCAGCTGCCTTTATTCTGTGCGACAGACGCAACTGCAGGTCTCCGAAATACTGAGCGCCCCGATTGTAGACTGACACATGCTTGCCTGGAGCTCTTAAAAATCAAAGAAAACAGTGTATTCCATCCTGCCGCCGCAGCCAACCCATGCGTGTGCTTGTTTCACACACTAGCCCCCCGCCCCCCGCCCCCCAGTCCCTGTGTCGTTTCGAAGCCAGGAAGCTAGGCAGTACTGCAAAGGGACCATTCCTGAATTGCTGCTTCAGTTGGTGGTGATGCTTTGCTCTGTTCTCCCAATTCACTTCCAACCAAAGCTCCGGCCCCTATGCGCTCTTACATAATGGTGAAGGAGCACATGGCACGTTTGCCCATCATTGCTGTTGAAGGCGAAGATTAGGCACAATTTCACGTGCAGAATTCCAGGCCATCCAGTTAAAGTTTCTCTTCATTTTCTCCTATACGCCCATAGATTTTCAGGTGTTTTTCATGGCTCGTGTGCCCTGCCTTGGCGGGGCTGACATAACTGAGCTCATTATTCATTTTTATGACGGACTGTTTGAGGTTTTCAGCTAGATAGGTGCCTTCAAGATTACTATGTTTTGTAACTTACTCATTCTCATAGTCTAAATGGCGTTGACTGTTAGGATGATCAGGATTCCACTTTTTCTCTCTGATGCCAGAATTGCACTGTAGCAAGCTAGGCATTCTACATACCTTAAGGAGGTCAGCTGTCCCAATTGGAGGCTGGGTCTGCCGCTTCCAAAATATGTGGCTTGGTCCAAGTTTCCTGACCTGTTTGTACCTCCTGGGTTTCCTCCTATTTCCGTGGGGAGGATCATAGTGCTCAAGCTCATAGGCTGCTTGCAAATATCAAGTGATTCAATCCAAGGAAATGTCAACCCACTGCCCATTAAGTAGATTCCTCCTCGTGGCGACCCCACGGGCCAGGCTCTTCCTGTAACTCTAGATGGGGAGCACGGACTCACCAATGGGTTTGCACCTTGGAAACGACACCCCCCCTCCCCTCAAATGGAGACCCTGTCCCCCTGCTAGCAAGCCAATTTGGCCTCATAGTGACCGGACATAGAGCTCCTGAAGCTTCACATCTTCATAGGCGCAAACAGCCTCAGCGTTCTTGGCAGAGCGGATGTTGGGTTGAACTGGCAACCTCTCAGTCAGCAGCCAAGCTCTTTAACCACTGTGCCACCAGGGCTCCTTGTTTGTTACAGTGTGCCAGTAAGGTGGTTTAAACTCAACAGCAACCATGTATTATGCAGTATCCTAGTAACAACTAGTGGGTTCGAACTGCTGACCCTGCAATGAGCAGTCCAGTGCTTATCCTACAGCACCACACCGGGACTCCTCTGGGCTCCTTGGTGGTGGTGGTGATTATGTGCCTTGCACTGCATTCTAACTCAGCGACCCATGTATAGGGTTCACAAGACTCTAAATCTTTACAGAAGCAGATGCTAGAGTCGAACTGCTGGCCTCGCGGTTAGCAGCCCAACTTGTAACCCACTACGTTACCAGAGCTTGTTTTGTGGTTTGTTGACAAGTACCTTCGAGTCAGGTCTGACCCATAGCAACCCTGTATAGGGTTTTCAGAGAGCACCTGGTGAATTTGAACCGCCAACCTTGTGGCTCAAACTGACCTTGCAGTGCAGTGTGTTATTAACCCACAATGGCACACCAGGACTCCAGAGTTTGTTTAGGAAGTGCTGAATACGTGTTCACTGTAGTATTAAGATTTCTTTCATTTTCCTGTTCTATATCAGGAAGCTAAAGTGGACAGAGACTCATTTATCTGAGGTCGCAAGGCCATAAGTAGCAGGATCCAGACATTACAGACTCAAGTTCTCACGTTCTTGTCTCTGATCTACTTAAACAGAGTGATCCGTTCACCCCTTGTCATTGGGTGAGCTGAGTGACTGACTTCAAATTAAACAAATCGTTAAACTGATGACAGTTTCACACTGTTCAAACCCACCAGCTACCCCGCGGAAAAAACAAGGTCGGTTATTCAATCAGAGTTACAGCCTCAGAAACCCTTTACAGGGTCGGCGTGAGTCACAATGTACTTGACGCCACACAAGAGAAATTTCATTCAGTCTCTACTTTTCTCTGCTGTGTGTGTGCTCATATGGCAAGTTCTCGGTCCCATCTTCACTTCTGTTGGCCTTCCTAGAGCAAGTTTGTTCCCAGCTTTACCCTGCTGACCCCCAGCGTTGTGGCGTCTGGGTCGCAACAACACAGTAGACCGTGTCTCTGCTGAGGCACGCAGTAGTAACTCAGACCATCATTTCAAGTTTGTTTACCCTCTGTTTCACTGGGTCCTTGAAATGTCCTTGAAATGTCACTAGCACCAATAAAATTTCATTTTTTATGAAACACTCATTTCAATGTCAATCTGGTTTTTGGTTTTTTGCTAGGACCTATCTGTGAAGTTGATATGGTCCTAAAACCCTATCGACTTGGCTTTTGCCTTAAAAAAATTTTTTTTTGGCCTTGGACGCATCTTGTGTCTTTAGTGCTCAAAACTGACTTTGACATCTTTTTGTGGACATTAGTATAGTCAAGTTTTTCTTTATCCCTCTCCTTTTCAAAGCCCTGGGGAGGAAACAAGGCAGAGCCATTGTATCAGCTAGATGGAGAACAGATGATTTTGTGAAGGTGCTATCTAACTGGTTAGGAGGCCTGCTCATACCTAGAGAATCCATCTCTACCCACGGATGATGCATGACCAGTCCCACCTGCCACTCTGACTCCAGGTGCCAGTACTGTATCATGTCTGCTATTGAGGAGCCAACAGTGCTGTCTTCTAGGGGGGGTGGGACTTCTTGTGAAATACCAGAGACCAAATATGCAAGGCAATTATGGGTCGGGGCTACAAGGTGTGCTTGAGTTTAGATTTAAATGCTACATATGAGAGGCAAGAAATCTCTGAAGTGTTTGTGGAGGGGTCAGACACCTAGACTACACCCTATGAGTCCTGAGAAGGACGAGGGCAGGAGCTAGGAAGAAGCCTGGTATTTGGGGGACAACTCGCACCTACTATAGCGGCCATAATGACGCTTGCTGGTAAGACTGAGACTTGAGGTGAGGCCTATAGGTCGGGTCAGAGTCTGATTTTAAAAGAAAGGCCACTGTAGATTCTTAAATATGGGGGCCTGCTTTATTTAGGAAACAGAATCTGGCTGTGATACACTTACTGATCAACTGATGGGGGAAGACGCACGCACGCTAGAGACCAGTTATCATCATGAAGTAAGCCAGGGACCCGGAGATTTTGATGGGGATAGGAGAAGGTGAAAATGGAAAAGGAGAACATTTAAAAACCAGAAATAATTTGTGGAAGAAGAAAGACTAGCCACTGAAAAAGAAAAATCTCTGTGTTGAGTGTGCGAGAGTCAGGAACATTCTTTCCGTTGAGCGAAATCTCGATTGCTGAAGGGAGAATCGGGCTGAGTCAGCTCCACTTGGGGTGCGTCTGGTGGGCAATGCAGCTGTGATGCTGACCACTTCCTAAGGCTGTAAAGGTATTAGGAAAGCGACAGTATGAAGGAAAAAAGACCCCAAAACAGTCACACCCAGATTGTTGTCCTTGACAAGAAGGATTGGCTTTTCTCAATTCCTTCCTATTTCGGGCTAAATGTTGGGCTCTTTCCTGGTGTGCCTCATACTGCTTTCTGCATTCTGATTTGCTGTTAACCTCATCTTGAGAACTTTAAAACCCTTCAAGCTGTGCTGAAATTCCTTTCCCACCTAAATGGCTACATAATGGGAATAGGAGGCCTTCGGTTTGCAAGGTAAAGCCCACAATCCGTATCTGTGTTTTACCGAAGGTAGAGATCCAGTATATCTGCACCATCTTACTACGTAGGGCTCAGAAGATTCGGTGACGCAAAATGCCTATCAAGTTCCTTCGAGGTGCCGAACCCAGGTCTGGGGCTGGGCAGAGGATGGGAAGCGGTCACCAGTGGAGTTAAAGCCGAGCCTGCCTTCTGGAGAGTCTGCCATGCCAAAGGGCCAGGAAATCAGAATTGCACCTGTGCCTCGACGGACCCATGACACCTGAATCAACCTGAAGTCTTCTCTTGCAGCTCAAACGTTTCGTGAAAGCAGCTTAAATCTGGCTCCGAACACGCCCCAAGCCTTCTGGAAATGCCCCGCCACTGTTAGTCACTTCGCTAAGTGAACTGATACATTGGTCCTTGGCCCCTTAGATAGCAACAGCAAGAAAGCTTTGAATACAGATTCCGAGAGCAGTACACATGGTTTGACCTTGAGAATCTTATCTTTCAAAAAAGGAATTTGCTTAGACGTGGCTTCTCCCTGGGGAGTATGGTATGCATGTGTCCGAAAACCTGCTTCCCTGCGCACGCGTGTGCCTAGTCTATTGCTCAGTGCGTTCTGCCAGACGCTGCTTTGTGAATGCCGAGAATGTGAGACCACTGGGCGGCGTTCTGTAGCCTGGCTTTTCACAGAACTCACCCTGGGTGTCACTCCAGTTGCTTGCAGGGAGCGTCTCATTCCTCAGTTCTGTGTCTCTCAGTAGACATCTCTTCCGTGTGGTTCTGGTTGGCGGTTGCTAGTACCGGGGTACCTAGCTCACTGGTGAATTCATTCAAGTTCAGAAAGTCACACTGTGTCCTGTGCGTGGGTGCTGCAGGCTTAGGTGGAGAAAAGCAGGGATAGAGTTGGAGCCCAAAGCCCAGAATGGCAGGAGAGGCTGTGGGGGCTCCACCCGATCACCTCTGGGTTCACCAAGAGGGTATCTACCGCGACGAACACCAGCGCACGTGGGTTGCTGTCGTGGAAGAGGTAAACTGTTTGCATTTTCCTGATTTCTTTACTTTGCTTTTAAGCAAATTGATTTCTCTCCAGGCTCAGTGTTCTGAAGTCTTCCGGTTTTGTTTTTGATCCTTCCTTTTCTTAGGAGACGAATTTTCTAAGGGTACGAGTCCAGCAAATTCAGGTCCCCTTAGGGGCTGCGGCTCGGCCAAGTCACCTCCTGACCTCCCAGCTCCCTCTGATGTGGCAGTTGTACCCTGAAGGCTGCTACATGGATAACAGGTCTCGCTTGTGGCAGATCCAACAGCATTCAATGGTACACATGCTGCTTAACCGCCTCTCATTGCTGTGCAGCCTGTCATTGCGGAGGCGGCCCTCTCTGAACTTCTGTTTCCGACAGGTCAGGGGAGTACAGGAGCTGTTGCTTAAGCTTTTGCCTGATGGTTAACCTGGTACGTACATACGTAGTTCTCCTTCGGCCCTTTTGTTTTGTTACTTTTGCTGGTGGTGACTTTACTGATGCCTGGTTTGTTTGTTTCTTTTCAGATGCTGGGATTCTCGGAAGAAATGCTCTTGCGTTCTGTCCATCCCCCTCCACAGCAGCGCACCCACCCTTGGGCCTGGGGGGAGGGAGTGGGCTGAAAAACTGTTCAAGACAGTTTAGGAAGGGTCATGAAGAATACTGCAAGTGAAACTCCAGATACAGGGTCACACAGGCAGAAAGGAAATCAACCAACCATTTAGTCAGGATCCAGTCACTTGAAATTGACTCCTTTGGAAATTGCCATATAGAACCTTTAATGGACATCATCGGCTGGAACTGGGATCTGATGAATCCCACAAAAGTCAGCACCTGCTACAGAACAGATGCCCTGACCACCAAGGACTTGGTACTGATTTAGAGAAGAGAGCAGCTTCTAGCAGCCTCAGCCATCTATTTGTTGTTTATTTGCCCTGTAACAATTCACCTGCCTTTCCTTCTCCCATCCTGTAAATATCCTAGGGTTGGTTCCAGTGTTTCCCATCGCAGTACTGACCTAACTTGGGCCTACTGAGAATTTAGGGGGCTCTGGAAAAAACAAAAAACAACAAAAAAAAAGATAGTCGCATTGAACAAAATGGCTACCGAGGCTCCTGAGCCTTTTTCCTTCCTGAAATGGTGTCTTCTTCACGTTGTTAGAAGTTGCTGAGCAAAATCGTGGGAACTTCAACTCTTTCTCTGGTCACAGATCCTTTAATTAGGCTGCTGAGTTGGAGTAGTCGTTTAGTTTAGATGTCCAAGTACTAATGGCTACCATGTATTGGTCCAGGCACTATTGTAAGCACTTTATAGGCGCTATCCCCTTTAATCCCTCCATCAGTGCTCTGAGGTAGGTATGGTCACCATTGTGCACAGAAGTACTAAGGAAAAAGGTTCAAGAACGTTCCTCTTCCTGCTGCTTGGGGGCTCCTTTAGCCCAACATTCCTTTACAGTGTTCAAGACAAGTCGATTCCATTCAAGATGGTGTTTTCCCCATGTAAAGCTCCTGATATCTCCCAAATCTAATGAAATGGATACTATCAAAATAGAGTCGCTTCATCCGATGAATGGGAAGAGTACTATTACTATTATATTTGAGTGTAATTATTTTCCAGGAATGGTAAGGGCATCCTGCTTATCTTTAGAGATAATAGATTTACAGTCTGTTGGGAAAACAGCAGAATAAAAAACCATTTTTCTTGTTTTAGTTTTCTGGATATGCCACAGAAGGATCCGTGCCAGAAACAAGCCTGTGAAATACAGAAATGTTTACAAGGTAGTAAAATGCTTTCTTTGTATTTTTCCAATGTGTAGGTGAACTAGTTACACGAGATCAGTTGTTACTTTATTAGCAACTTGTCAGAATGTGATGTTTCTGTAATTATTTCATCCTGAAGATTTTTCTCATTGTGTTATCAAAGATGCAGAAAATTAACAGTGATTAAACCAGGGATTCAAAATCCTGGTTGCTTATTAGAATCACCTAGAGAGAATAAGACATCAAACTTCCTGGGAGCTCAGAAAAGTCACTTGTTATGGGTTGGTTCTGTTTCACTGCAGCTGACAAGTCGCTTATTCAAAGCAGTTAGCTGGAAGGAGCTTTGCAAATGTAGTTGGAATTCAGCAACTAACCCTTAAAGGCAAAACTGGATTTCAGTGAAAAAGCCTTTTTGATGTGAGTCACCTATTTGATTTTAAATCCGAGGTTACTTTGACCAAATGGTAGAGGGTTTTATGGTTTTTATTCAGCAAGTAATGATTGGCGGTCTTAAAAACAAATAGAAAAGCTCTGAGGCTTGTCTGCATTTGAAAATTGGATAATTCATAAATGAAGATGAAAGCTCATGCCAATGTAAAAAGTTGGGGAAAGATTCAAAGTTCCTCCAAAGATAGCTATTGTGTATGTCCTTAGACTGAATTTTTATATTTTATATTTTCATATTCTTAGCCTTTTTATTAATTCCAAAATGCTAACAGAGATTAATGATTTTTAACTCGTCCTTGTCTTCCCTTTCTCCAGTTTTGAGAAGGAAGAATGTTTTTCCTATACATTTTTTCTCTGCAGTAAACTGTTACCTGATTGGTAACAGCAAGGTATGACCTAGAGAGAGTAAGAGTCCAGGTTTATTCTCTAGACCCCCTTGCTGTAGTGTAGTAATCACTGGAGACATTAGAAAGAATTAACACGGAGCACTTGCTGTGTGACCAGCAGGAGCCCTGGTAACTCAGAGATTAAAGCACTCTGTTGCTCACATAAAGGTTGGTGGTTCCAACCCACCAGCCACTCTGCTTCCGTAAAGATGACAGCCTTGGAGACTGTGTGAGGCGGTTCTGCTGGGTCCTAGTAGGGTCCATAGCTACGAGTTGTTTGCATTGACTTGGGTTGGGTTGGGTGAGTATACTTGTAAGGCCCTAAACCTGAAATCATTGAATCCCTTAGTTAGTGCAAAGCTCCTATGGCCACATTACAGCCATGAGCAGCAGGCACAGACGTGATTATGTAAGTAGTAAGTGCTACAGTAGGAATCTGAGCCCGGCATTTCAGGCAACATTCTCTTTCTACTCAGAAGAGTCCTCTCTCTCCTAGACTAAGTGCCATGCATCATTACAGTACTGGGAGACTAGACCTGTGAACTCTCATCAACAGAATCTTTGATCAGAACCAAACTCGCTGTCCCCGAGTCAGTCTTTACAGCAGCTGGTGGGTTTGAACTGCTGACTTTCCAGTTAACCATTGTGCCACCAGAGCTCCTGAATCTTAGGTCACCAAACCCAACCCAGCCCCCTGCCATTGAGTGGCTTCCAATTCCCAATTCATAGTGGCTCTGGAGAGGGTTTCTGAGACTCTTCAGTCTTTACGGGAGCAGACCGCCTCCTCTCTTTCTCCTCAGAGTGGCTGCTGGTTATCCCACAATGCCGCCAGGGCTCCTTGAAATCTGAGAGCAAGGCCTCCTTAGTTTACCTTCTAGTAGAGGTGGGAAACATTTTCTTTAAAGTGCCAGGAGATCAATCCTGTAAGTTCCTTAAACTGATGCAAGAGAGAGCTTGGGGGAACATGCGTTGTTCTAATTCATCAAAATAACAAAAGGAGTTGGTAAGTGCTGTCTACTCTTAGCATAGTGTTTTCCCAGGGGTGGCTGGTGGGTTTGAACCATTGACCTGTGGTTAGCAGTCCACTGCTTACACTATAGCACCATACCAGGACCGAAGGAGTTAGTGACCAAAACAGTTAGAGATGACTGCACTGTAACAAGGATCCATAAGCCATTAATGCAATCTAAAAGAAAAGGACATTGGATCTGAAGGTGACCTGTGACCACTTTGTTAATGCGGCTTGGTTAGACTGTTGACAAGTCTCTAAGCCAGAAAGAAGTCAGTGGCCTTAGGTAGGTATATCCTCTTGCTTCTAGTTTTCTAAATTAGTGGCAAGGGTTAGGAAGAATGATCTAATGGCCCTGGACCTTAGTCCCATGAGATCATGACCAGGGTCTGCCCATCTGTTTTCCAGCCAACAACTACATGGAATCTAAATGTCAGACTGTCATCCAAGAACTGCGTAAGTGTTGTGCTCAGTATCCCAAAGGAAGATCTGTCGTCTGTTCTGGATTTGAAAAAGAGCAAGAAGAAAAGCTGACACTAAAGTCTGAATCAAAGTAAAGTTCTGCTGAGAAGCTAAATGCTGCTCCACGTTGACACAAGTTCTATTTACCCTCCTGACTCTTTCCTCGGGCCAGGTAGCAGCCAATAACACCCGAAACAGTCAACTAGCAAAGTTAATACGTCATCTATGTAGAACAGACAAAATCGAAATATAGTAACAGATAAATGTAGAATGTAATAAAACTGAGCTGCTAAAATAAACTTGTTTGGAGTGAAACACTTTGGTTTGGTCTAAACATATGTCTTCAGACTCTTAGATAGCAGCAGTGTTGATGAATTGCCTTTAGCATTTGAGTCCAGACTACATGAGAAATGGTCGGCGCGAGCACTCCCGCCTTCAGCATTAGCATCGTCTAAGTCTTTCATTGATTCAGCGCTGCGTTAATGCAAAGGGTCGTCTGACTCAATACTTGTACTTCCAATCATTCCGTGTCTTGCAAATTGCAGTTTCCTTACGGATGACATTTCTTTCTGCTTTTGTTTAACATCAGTTGTTAAGCGCCATCGAGTCAGTTCCGACCCACAGTGACCCTGTATAGGGTTTCCAAGGAGCAGCTGGTGACTTTGAATTGCTGAGTTTACAGTTAGCAGTCCAGTGCTTATCCTCGAGTGCCACATGATCCCTAAGTTAGCATGGTTGTTGTTAAGTTCTGCCAAGTCACTTCCAAGTCCTAGCAACCCTACATCTATGTGCAGTGAGTGAAACACTGCCTGGTCCTGGGCCATCCTCACAGTTGTTAACGTCTCAGCTCATGGCTGCTGCCGCCACTGTGTCAGTCCATCGCACTGCTGCTCTTCTCTTTATTTCTGACCTTCCATCTTCTCAGTCTTGATGCCTTTCTCTAGGGATTGATCCCTCCTGCTAACAATGGCTCAGCATCCTGGGTTGTAAGGAGCACTCTGGCTGCACTTGTTCCAACACAGATCTGTTGGTTCTTTTGGCAGCCCATGGCACTTTCAATAGTCTCCTCCAACACCATAACTCAAATGCGTCAATTCTTCTACAGTCTGTTTTATTCACTGTCCAGCTTTCACATGCATATGAGGTAATTGAAAATACCATGGTTTGGGTCAGGCGCACCTTAGTCCTCAAGCTGACATGTTTGCTCTTCAACACTTTAAAAAGGTCTTGTGCAGCAGATTTGCCTAATGCAATACGTCATTTAATTTCTTGACTGCTGCTTCCGCGAGTGTCGATAGTTGATCCAAGAAGAATGAAGTCCTTGACAACTTCAATCTTTTTTCCACTTGATTATGGAATTTAATC